GAGTTAGTAGTGCGCCCGCGGCAGCCACGGCCCAGCAGGTGGCTCTGTGCTGAGGTGTGGGCAGGGGCTTCCTGCTGTGCCCATGCCTCAGCCCCTGGGGGCAGGTTGGGGGGCTGGAATGTTCTGCAGCGAGCGCTGGGCTCTCCCTGGCTGGCCCTTCCTGCTCCCTCTGCTGGGGTCATTTGCCTCTTGCTAGCTTGGCTACCGACGCCTGGTTCCAGAGGGCCCCAGGGTGACAGGACCACGGGGAAGGCAGACGTCCCCCGTGCCCCGGGGTGCGTGCAGGAAAGCGTGGCCACTGTGGGGCTCCTTCCCAGGGAACGCTCTGGCCTCGCAGTGTGGGTCTGCAGGCAGCCTCGCAGCAGGCCCCTTGGGCGCTAACCCCGCTGGCCAGCCCAGCCTCAGCGCCCTGTGTGGTTCCCAGGGCCCAGAGCACATCTGCTGCAGCTGCATCTCGCCCTGCGGCAGCTGGATTGCGTATTCCACCGCTTCCCGGCTCCATCTGCACAGAGTGCGCCTGGCTGCAGGGGAGCCCCGCCCCTGCCGTGGGGGGCTGAGGCTGGGGGTATGTGGGGGAAGGAGTGAGGCCAGATGTGGGGGGAGGGCGAGGCTGGACTTGTGTGCCCAGGGAGCCAGCTCCCACTCTGTTCTCTTGCCCTCACCAAGGTTCCCAAGGTGCCCAAGCAGCTGAATTCGGCCCACCAGCTCCTGTGCTCTGCCGACTCGGCCAGGCTGTTCGTGGCCTCCGACCAGGGTGCCGTGCACGTCCTCGCGCTCCTGGAGCCGGGGGGCTGCAAGCAGCTGCAGACGCTCCGCCCCAACTCGGGTAAGTGGCTGCCGGCGGGGGCCAGTCCCCCAGGCACTCCAGCCTCCGTCCCCCCAAGCTGTGCTGGGATGGGGAGGGGCGAGCTCTGGACTGAACTGTTCCAGCCCCACTGCCTTCCCTTGGCTTTGCTGGCGGGCCTATGACCCCCCTCAACTCCTCCGCAGTTGCCCTATTGGTGCTGATGTGTCGAGTGCTGTGGAGTTGCACCTCCTTGCCCATGAAATGGGGTGTGGCTCTGCTGGGTGTGCTCCCACTCTGCCCCTCGGGAGCCTGGTGCCCTGATGTGCCTTCTGCAGAGGCTCCGTGTATGCAGCCCTAGAGGGCGGGGCTAGCAGGGGGTGGGGCTGACGAGGGTCGCGCTGAGAGGCACAGTGCTCTTGTCCCACGGCAGAGGGCGGGGCTAGCAGGGGGTGGGGCTGACGAGGGTCGCGCTGAGAGGCACAGTGCTCTTGTCCCACGGCAGAGGGCGGGGCTAGCAGGGGGTGGGGCTGACGAGGGTCGCGCTGAGAGGCACAGTGCTCTTGTCCCACGGCAGAGGGCGGAGCTGGCGAGGGGCAAGGGGCGGGGCTGGCGAGGGGCAAGGGGCGGGGCTGGCGAGGGGCGTGTCGAGAGGCACAGTGCTCTTGTCCCACGGCAGAGGGCGGAGCTGGCGAGGGGCAAGGGGCGGGGCTGGCGAGGGGCAAGGGGCGGGGCTGGCGAGGGGCGTGTCGAGAGGCACAGTGCTCTTGTCCCACGGCAGGGGGCGGAGCTGGCAGGG